TGAGGGGAGTGGGGAGGCGAGACATTCTAGGCATGGGGAAGGGTGTATGCAAAATCACTGAGGCTGCTAGGGTAGAGGGGGGGGGGGCTGGGATGGGTAGTGGCCAGGGAATGCAAAAGCATGAGTTAGGAGGATACAATGATAAGTAAAGCTGGATCATGGAGGGCCTGTAAGACTTAAGAAGGAACTTGATCTGTGCTAAGAGAGCTGTGGAATCTTCAAAGATGAGGCTTTGAAGTTGGAGCAGGTAGGAGACAGGTTCTCAAACTGGTTCACTATACCTATATAGGACACTGATATAGGAAGAAATGGGAAAGAACCTCGTTGATCATAAGCATTCCTTCTGCGGCTCTGTCCTGAGCACCCATGAACTCCAGGCCCTGTAGAAGGAACTGGGGATGCAGTAGTCATTACCATGTTCTTGTGAAAACTACAGCCTGGGGAGTAAGGAATGGTGAGAAAGACATGAAATAAACAGGCACACGGCTACTTCTGATGTTTCATGACTTCTGGGGAGACAGGAACAAACATCAATTGACCCCAGATGGACCAGGGAAATTATCCCACCCAAGTCCAGCTTGGTGAACCAATGAGTTGAAGTGAGATTACTTACAGGAGTGTGGACACCTTGTAGGCAGTTACACCACCAAAAAGTCTTTCCCCCACTCTCAGCAATTGTTAATTGCTAATATTTCCCCAGGAAGTGGAGGGGCCTTAAGTACTGCCTTTTAGTGGGCCCAATCTCAGGAGGGTCTCATGAGGGTAGTCTCAGCTGCTGTGATCTCAAGATGGTAACAACTGTGTCACACCTAGAGGACAGAGTCCCACCTCAGATGCCATGAAGGAAGAGGATAGAGAATGCGTTCTTGATTCATCTTTTCCTCAGGTCTTAATGGAAGGGAGACTGGTGTCTTCTGTTTATGATGCAAAGTGATCCCTAAGATACATAGTTAATTTAGAAAAATAACTAAATAGTAAATATTTGAAGGGGTCTTGGAGATATAGCTCAGTGGTAGACCATTGGCCTAGCATGCATAAGGACCTAGGTTCAGTCTCCAGCACCACCACCACAAAAAAAAAAAGGCACAATGGCATAGATCACTGTACCATTTTGCTACCATATGTAAAAGAAAATTTTTAAAAAGCATGGAACCATATATATGTATTTTTATATGTGAATAGCCTATCTTCAGCTGGAAACAGAAGGAACTGGTAACAGCAACTACATACATTATTATTTATTTGAAAACAACAAACTTCTTGGGTGTGGTCACTGGGTGGGGAGGAGAGGAGGTGACTGATAACATCTCTCTCCACTCTGCCACTCCTTGCAAACTGTCCCACGCCTTCCTCTACTCTTCACCTGGACCACCTAGGAGGCTCATTGTAAAAAGAAAGATGAGTAGAAGCAGTGAGACGGATCACTGAGAATGTGAGGCATCCTGTTGGAGGGGCTGTTCCATCGAGGGTGTGTGTGTGATATGGATAGCCTCTGTATCAGTGTCCTTTGAAAATACCAGTCAGAGCTTCCTTCAGCATAAGAAAAGAGGAGTAAAAATACACAGATCTCAGCTCAAAAGCAGAGTTTAAAAGCATCTAGAGATAAACAATGGTCCAGACCTTTCCTTCAGGAAGCAAGGGAGCTAACATTTAAGAAGCTGGTGCTCTTTGCCAGCCATAGGGTTGGAAGCTTTATGGACATTATCTCATTAAGTCTTAATTAAAAGAAATAGCAGGGAGGTGCTGCTGCCCTTTTACAGATGAGAAAACCAACCTCTCTGGGGTTGGATAACTTGTCATAGTCATGCAGATGGTGAGTGATGAGGCTAAGTCTCACACCCACATCTGTCCACTTTTTATTATTTCATGGGTCCTGGGGAATCTGAACTCAGGTCCTCATGATTGAGAAGCAAGCACTTTACTGACTGAGCCATCTATTTTCCCAGCACCTAAACTGTTATCCTAAGTCTGCACCTACCTTCCCCCCTCCAGCCTTTTTGAAACCAGGTCTTGCTATATATCACTATCTCAGAACTCATAGCAGCTCTCCTGCCTCAGTCTCCCAAGTGCTGGGATTATAGTGTGTGCCACTACTCAAGTCCTTTTCTAACTCAGAGTTGATGATGCTAGGGCTCCAGGACAACATGAGAAGCTCCAGAGACCATTGTTCAGCTCTTCCACTGTCTCTAAAGAGTCCACGGTCCCTCCATTAGGTGGGAAGGCCTGAAGCAGAGTTGCTAGGGCTGCCACTCCGCCTCAGAGGCTTGCTCCTCTCACCACCAGGACACTTAGGCAAGCCTTCAGCCTGACAGTACCAAAGAAACCTTGACAGGAGCCCCAGGAGAGAGGTGGGGAAGTGTCTCTGTCAGCACCAGGCAGCTTCTGTGGCAGACTGGAAGTTAGGTTGGATGTCTGTACACAGTTCACAGGCCTTCCTGTGAAGCACAAGATGGAGCGAAGATTATAGAAAGATTATTAAGGAATCCAGACCACGTCTGTTCAATCTGCAACCCAGTGTCCTGAGGGAAGAACGGAGGCTGCAGATGAGAGTGGAATAGACATTTACAAGCCTCTCTTGCCTTTCAGGTCTCTCCCTCAGGGTCTTTGGGCCCCCTCTCTGTCCCTCCTGTCCACAGCACCATGCCTGGAACAGGTGAGCTTCCAAATAAGGTTTCCAGATAATACCAGAATTCATTTCAGTAACACTTTAAAACAAAACTAAAAGGCATTTATTCAAGTCAGCATTCCCTAAATGCATCTCAAATGACATTAAAATCAGTACTGGGTAAAGCAAGGTTCTATAATCACTTAAGTTTGGGAAATGCTGGGTAAGCAAAGTTTAAACAAATAAGTGTTTATTTTTATTTTAATTGTAGCATGGCTCAGCACTCAAGGATGTAATACATTCCAAAGTGAGATACAGAAAGAAGGAGGAAGACAGGAGTTTCCAAACTAATTTTCTACAGGATTCCCTTTTTCAAAAAGTACCTGAAGCCTTTCAAAGAACTAGATAGGGTGGCCACATGTGCAGGTGTCTTTCAGAAACCCTAATAGTGGCCTCAAAATTGGCATAATTATCAGAAAGTTCTCTTCTTTTTAAAAACTTCTTAGTTTGAATGTAAACTATATGGCACCCTAGTCATGAAAAACAATTTGGGAAACTGAGACATGGGACTATCTACTTGAGCCAAATTTACCATTTTACAGAAGATGAAAATAAGCTTCAGGGTAGTAAAACAGGTCAGGGCAGGCCACAGTGGCCCAGGACCAAGATGAAGCTCCCTCCTCTTAGTCTTGGCCAGTGTTCTTTCAAGAGGACCACATGCCTTTTTGTGGAGTCAGAGAATGAGAATTCTGGCAGTCTCCCTGCTCTCAGGTTCGCTCTCTCCCCATGCCTCTTCTTTTCCTAAGCTTCATATTCTTCTTCCCTTCTGCCTCGAATCTGCCCAGCCCAGGGTGTGTCCTGGAGTAGGATGATTTTGGCATCTGTCCTCCTTGCATTTGGCAAGTCTTAGACTTGTAGAACCAGCCACACTGCTCTGAGGGCCTGGGCTGCAGAGAGCACTTGCAATGACAGCCCCTCCAGGGATGGGCTGGCATGCAGACCTTGATGCTAGCTAACATGCTAGGAAGTGGACAAATGGGTGGGGGTAGGAAGAGGGGGAGTATCCTTTGGGGCTACACCAGGAAATCCAGTGTTGGAAAGGCCATGTCATAAGGTCCCCAGACCCAGCAGCATTATTTTAGCTTTGTTTTTGCTTCTCTTTGTCCTCAGTAACGTCATCCTGTTCCCCTGGGAACAACAGCAGGCCTTCGTCTCCTGGCTCAGGACTCCATGCCAGCAGCCCCACAGCATCTCAAAATAACTCCAAAGCAGCAATGAACTCCTCCTCCAGCTTTAACTCCTCAGGGTAAGTGGAGGGCAGTGAGGAGGCATCTGGCAGACTTAGGGACATGTGAGGAGTTGGGCCAATGCCATTACGCAGAGGACTGGAAATGAGGAATGGGATGGGGGTTGGGGGGGGCGGATAAAGAGCTCGACTGAATCCCCAGAGAGCTAGGATTTAAAAAGAAGCCATAGCCAGTGAACAGTCCTGGCAAGAAGCTGATGTCAACAAAGCCAAAATTTCCATCTTCACTTTGATGGTGGAAATTTCCAAATGCTCTTGTGAGACCAAGTCCTTTGCTGGGCTCAGGAGCATTCCACTCCACACTAGGGAGTCACAGGGTAGTCTCATATGAGCCTGGAACTTGGGCATAAACCAACCCTGAGCTTCAGGAGTGACACAGGGAGACAGGGAAGTACTACCAAATCCTGCTCCTACCTGTGATGCAATGGAATAGGCACTCCTGAGCCTTTACTCATAAGCCAAAGAAGCTACTTGAAAAGGAATCTCAAAGTAGATGACTTCAGAATCTACCCCAACCCAGAAGAAAACGGAGATATAAAATTTGGATGTAGGGTTGGGAAGATAGTTCAGTTGATAATGTATTTACTTTGTAAACATAAGGACCTGAATTTAATCCCAAGGACTATGCAAAAAAGCCAAGTGTGGAGGACTGGAGAGATGGCTAAGTGGTTAAGAACACTGGGTGCTTTTCCAGAGGGCCTGGGTTTGGTTCCCAGCACCCACATGATGGCTAACAACTGTCCATAACTTCAGTTCCAGGGGTTTTGATGCCCTCTTCTAACCTATGTGGGTATTACATACACAAGTGCACTTATATACATGCAGACAATGCACTCATACATATAAAAATAATAAAGTATTTTTATAAAAAATATTTTATTTATTATTTTTATTTTATGTGTATGCGTGTTATGCCTGCATGTAAGTAAGTGCACCCGTGTCGCGCAATGCTGGCAGAGGACAGAAGAGGCTGTCGGATCCCCTGGAACTGGAGTTACAGACAGTTGTTAGCTGCCA